TGTTAATCTTCAGCAGAACTGCTCCACTGAATTTTAAAGTGTCTCTTCAGACTAATACATCTTGAACTGAAATAAGGCTTTGGCTATAAATGTTTAAGATGTGAAGCACTAAATTAAAAGAAAGAACCCAGTTTAAAAAGCCTCTAAGTCAAATGAGGGCTTGAAAACTAATCATGAATTAATCATCTGCTTCAAGACATCTGTTTCTCTTAAAAATGTGATTCCTTGAGACCATTATTCCTTCAAACAGGATCACATAAATACTGTCCTACTTTACTGACAAACTGAAGTCTCTATCCAGATGTACCTCAATTAACCATCCAACTAATGTCGGAGTAGAACATTGTGTGACTCAGGAGGAACTGAGCTGCAGGGCAGTGACTGCCACCCAGGGCAATGGGGAGGATCTAAGTCAGCTTTACCTCTAGCACTGGTCCCAGTGGGAAAGCAATCAAAGCCCCATGGATATTTTGTCTGAGCTGGGGGGACTTCCCTCCTGAAACATCTGCTCCCTTGTAGCACTGCACAGTGCAAGTGGGAACCCTCAAGGTGCCCTCGACCACCAGCTCTGCAGCCTCCAGGACACTCCATGTCACACCACCCATGGAGTACAGAACCATCCCAGACCCCCACAAACCCAGACCCAAAGTTTTGGGCTGTCAGACACCAGAGGTCCCACTCCTAGTATCATTTTGTACACAGCCATGTTCCCTGCGCACCAGCACCGGATCTCTTCTGAGTAGGAAGGAACTATTCCCATGTCACTATAAAGTCTGAAACTGAGGTTCAGGGCTGAAGTCCAGCCATATGTAAAGACACGTGCCTGCTGCAAAGGGTTTACATAGTAAAAAAACAACTGCTCCTTGGGCAAAGGCCTCCTTACACGTGCCAGTACATACTTGTACAGCTCACACGGAAGTCTTTGTGACCAGACAGCAAGAGAAGGCAAGATAATTCAGCTGCAACCTCTACCTGGACTTCAAATTCTCCCATTTGATCCACAGCCACACCAGATACTAAATCCACATACTGAGGCACACATTTCAACTCCCATGTCTCTTGACAATAAACAAACAAAAAAACCCAACCCCAGAGCTCAACGAGGCTGATGCAGACACTGCCAACATTCATTTATTTCTGTCTCAATCAACATGGGACTTGAAAAGATAAATTCTATTTATTTCCCCTCTGCATGTCTGAGCAGATCTGTAATCAGTGTAATCACTTTGCCTCAGCCTCCTGCTTGTGGACTGAGGGTCTGGGGCTTTGTTTTCCCTGATGCAAATAGGAACTGCATTCCAGTCTTATCAAACCAAATCCAAGTGACTGTCAGTCAAGAATAAACTGACCCATCAATGCTTCTGGGGGGAAATCTGGCCTCTTTCTATGGCTTTCACTTTCTAAAAAATAATGTTTTAAATGTGTGCACCCACAAGGCATCCCCTGGCCCCTCAGGGTAGGAAACTCCATAGCAGCTCATACAAGAACTGCAGTGAAGAAAAACAGAGGGTTTGCTGGGTCACAGTTTGTTGTTTGGTTTGGGGTTTTTTTGTAGCTATCTTGGAAAAACTGAGGCTTCTTTGGACAGCAGTAGAATTCAATTTTATAGAAGTAATACTCCAGTCTCTTTGTTGCTGCTACTGACTGTTCTCTGCAGATCCCTGAAGAGATTACTTTATGCATTCTTTTATTAAATAGAAAAGTAATTTGGGCTGCTAACCCAGGACATGAACCACTAGCCTTAACTGGGTGAAAATAATTGCTTATTCCCTCTTCTGTTTTGTCCTGCTAGGTAAGGGATGTATGCATTAGATGAAAAAGGGTAAAAGCACCTTCAACATTCGTAATATATTGTTGCTTCTAAAAATGCAGACTGGAACAGTACAGATCCTTAGTGCAGAGAAATTGTTTCTTCCAGCTAATTTATACCTACTTGCAGTTTGGATGGAAGACAACTTAAAAAGGAAGTTTTAGAGGAAAACAATCCATTTTGAATTGCAACTGAAGGCACAGGAAACAGAATCCTACAGAAGGTGGGATCTGTTAAAAAGCTTCTTTTTTTTTTATTTCAAGAGAAAGAATTTGAACTAAATAATACCTTTGTTTGGTTGTGTGTTCTGTTACTTCATGACTGAACTTCTGAAATAAGAGTATGAAATAACCAAAAGAGTTCTGCATCATTCCTGGTGCACTGGCTTCTCATTTTCAGAAAGGCCATTCACTCCTTTGAAAAAGAGATAAATATCACCCCTTTCAGCAAACACATAATCCTAACACAGTCAAAGTTTCCAACAGCATTTAGCCATCTATGCTGATTATTTATAGCTCCTTCCTTCACTCTGCACAAGAAATCTTGGCCCTAGCCATTTGATGGATTGTTTAGGAACAGATCTACATAAAAGCTTGTCGTAATTTCTACGAGTTCCCACCAATCAATTATTCTGTTCAGAATTAGGGAAAATGACAGAGCTTTCCACTGATACAAGTGCCCCAAACATGCTGCCGCTGATTCTGGTGCCTACAGCTCTTGAAAAGTGCTAGAAACTTTATAACCATCATAAGAAACCTCCAGGAAAGAGTAAAATACCTTAGAGAGGTTTCAGGGGTTTGATCCATTCAGGATGTCAAAGAGAAGGCTGTGACTTCATCTTTATGAGAAACTTGTGTGGCAGGAGGCCCTTCAACTGAGCAGTCAATACAACAGTTTCACGCTAGAAAGTGAAGACAGGCAAACATGAACCAGAAATATTTGTTATTAAGCACTGAGACTAATCAGCATTGGAATAAGTTGAAGTTTGCAACAGATTCTGCATCAAAAAAGCCTCCACTAGATGGATCTTCAAAAAGCTGCAGCCTTATTAATTCACAACTTAATTTTGGGGAAGGACTAAACATTATTTGCCTTATGAATGCCTGAATTGCAGATTGCTGGTCTGTTCTATTTCTAAAAATCCTGGCTCTGTACAATGTTTCCTGCAATCTACATACCAGATGTTCACAGAGCTTTGGAGACTGAGATGAATTAAGAAAGTGCTTAGATTTCTTGATACAGTGTCCCTTCATTTAACTATCCAACACACCTGGCTACTGAGATAGGCTCTCATAGTTCTCCACCCATTCCTAGTGTTCCTCAGTATAAAGCATCTTCCCTCCAGGTTAGGCTCTCTCTGACCCTGCAATGATTTCTGCAGCACAAATCCACAATGACACAAACTGCTTCCTGTGACTTGGAGGGTATCACCACATTAAACCATGACTGTCACATCACACCAATTCTGGGCTCATGTTACCAACACCCACCTGTGAGATAACACCATCCTTCAGATATGGAAGGATCAGCTTCTTTCAGATGCACCAGGACACCTTCCTGATAGGAACATCACCCCTGGAGTGGCTGGGTTGGCAGTATGCCTCCAGCTCCTAAGAGCATCCCAGAGAGGCTGCTGTTTCCTTCTTGAAATGGGCAGTTAGAGGATGAGCCTGATCCCCAGCTCATGGTGGGACAGCCAGCAAGCCCAGCCCCAGCATGGTCAACCCCCTGCTCTCCCACAGCTGGTGCACACACAGAACAGCCATTCCCAGAGACACATGGGGACCAAAGGTTCCATATTTTCTGAGGTTATGCCAAGGATCAGAATGTCACCAAAAAAAAATAAGGGTGGATTTTAACCAAAACACACTTTGACACACCAAAAACTTTCTATCTAATCAGGAAAATGTATCCCCAGGATAGCTCCCCTGATTACATCTTTGGTTATACCAGAGATGTGTTTGGCTCAAGACCCTGAGATGAGACACTGCCTGCAACAGGCTGGAATTATACACTAATTACAGTCTCATCTCATCACCAGAGGAATGTACTTCTGTTTATATCCCTTCCATTCCATGAAACAAAGCAAATTTCACTCAGTTAAACAAAAAACTGAAGAAATAAGAATCTTGATTAGATAAAACAAAATGGCATTGAGAGTACAATTTGGTACAGAACACTGCCCATTAAAATAGTGGTTAATACAAGTGGCTTCCCTGGAGATGATATCTGCCCATCTCCAGTTCATCTTAACCTCCTACTTAGCACACAAAAAAGTACTAGCTTGTATTTTACCACATAAATGATGTCTCTCACTTTCTGTTTCACCTTTTGTCCTTTCCCTATATTTCTATTGTTTTTAAGTTCCAGACTCAGAAGCAATATGAGCAGCTTTAAGCTGTTTATACAGACTCTCATCTGGAAAAGAAAGAGAAATCCAACTTGAAGTTTCAAGCATCTTGGACATCTGCTTATAGAACAGTTCCTAATTCAGTTAAGACCTTAACTATCCAGTTAACAGCACAGGATGTAATCCCCATGGCTCTGGGGATCAGACACACTCTCTACCTGGCAAAGAGACAGCACTGCACTTGGACTGGGCCCTGCATCCCCAGGCAGGAGAACAGGATGCACGTCAGTCCTGGGCAGAGTTCTTCACCTGCCTATTCTGCAAGGGCAGTGGGGACTCAGCTCCTCTGGACCTCAGGTTCTTCCCTCTCAGTCTGAATGCTCTCCATTTCTAGTAAATTAAGAGAGAGGTGGTCAAGTAGTTATCCTGTAAAGATACCTGCTGCAATTGCTTTAACACAAAACACTAATTTTAATGCAAATGTATTATGAGGAAGCAAGTGCTTCCAATCTTCAACATACCTCATCATGTCATCTCTGTCCAGAGGCAGCTGGGAAGAGCTCCAGTAAACATGTAACCAAGTGCTTAAAAATCTATTTTAATGATGTTTTCAAGAATAATAATACTCTGCATTACAAAAGAAAGAGGTAAAAGGTGTGTCTTTTACATATAAGAAAAAACTTACAGTGAAGGCAAAGAATATCTTAAAACCAAAATAAAGCCATGTTGTTCCCTACAGGGAAGGTTCAGGGGTTTGAGGTTACTCACTCAATTCACTTCCAACATTCATAGAAAAAGATGAGGGTGAACAGTCAAAATAGTTACTCTACCACGTCAGCTTTAAATATTCCACTGACTGTCAACAATTTAGCAATAAAATTACAAATATACAGAAAACAGACCTGCTACTATATTGAAGCTGCATACACAACCAATAAAAAAAAAACTATATAACAAAATATGCAGAAATTAAGTGTTTTCCATTCATAAATGCATAATTACTCCCACATTCCACTCTGTCATGAAACGAGCACCCAACATGGGGACCAAAAAGAAGGACAACTCCTAGTACACTTCATAGAATGGGCAGAAGACAAGTGTACACATTATTCACAGCTTTGGACCAACCCCAGTTCTACAAATTTCTCTATAGAACCTTAATTCTACAGTTTGCAGTGAAATCATAATTCATACATGAAAACATGTAAAAATAACATTAATAATTAAGTACAAGCCAGAGTGAAAACAGTGGTGCTAATGAAGGGTCTCATTTGGAGACTGCTGCTGGTTGGGCAGGAGTCCCAGATCAGCAGCCTCACCCCAGGGAGGTTACCAGGAACAGAAAGCACTATGCTGAGCAGAATTTGCACAAAAGGCCAAAAGTGATCACTAGAAATGATTTTCCAGACAGCAGTGTAAGACATCAGGAGCACAAAGTGCTACTGCACTGACTGCAGCAGCTTTGCTGAGCACTGACACGCGTGATGCAGTGACCGCCATTACAGATGCAACATGCTACAGCACTCACTGCATGCAAACAGCCCCCAGGATGCTTCACTGTATCACTCCTAAATCAAAGTAATTCATACATAAGGATGGAAGGTGGTTGGTGTTTACATGAGCTTTGACAGGAACGGACACACTAAATCATGGCTGAATCACCAGCATGAAATCACATTCCTAAATAATTTAAGCCCTCAAAACAGTATTTCTTGTTAAAAATCCTTCATTTCAATGAAAGGGTTTGTAAACATTGAGGATGTACATTTATACAGTCTACAG